TTAATTGGCTTTATAATTTAAAATGTATGCTACAAAGACAAAATGAGATACAAAATATAATTTGTGTTCCAAATTATAAAACATTTACTAAAACTTTTGCACAACTCTTTGGCTGTGGAAAATAATTTTATTTTGTAAGAGGAATTTTGACGAAAGATCTTGCAATTAAAATGGCATTTACATTTGAACTCTTTGCTGGTTAACCATATATATGAGAATTTACATAGAAGCAATGAAAATGACAATTTAAGCACAAACCAAAGCAAATCTAATATAATGTAAACGGACTATAACTTCATCATATGAATACATGATTTAATGCAAAATTTGTACGTCGTAATAATTTAAACTCCACACCCTGTATCGTACCAATAAAACATAATGTCTTTAGATAACCCATTTATCCAATTTTGTTCCGACATCCCTAATCAGCATTTTATTTTATTAAAAGTATGTTAAAATTATGTATGCATTATAGCCCCATTTCTTGGTATAGCTCCTTCATCCTCATAAAGTCAAGTTGGTCTAAACGTACAAGACATTCTAATACTTCCAGACAATATAAAAAAGCCTTACACTGTTATTAGCAATCAATAATTTCATAATATACAAATTATGGAAAAAGTGCCCCTAAAGCGAAAAATCTCCCTCAAAAATTTCGCATCAATTGGACCCTATTTATGTGTTCACGCTGATTATCTGTGGACAAAACTGTTATGTTCCGAGTTGGATATATCGAAGATCTGTGCCTTATAAGCTTCTTGTTTAAATTGACAAAACAAAACGACTCAGAAAGTGCTTTAAAATGTCCCCTTAAAACGAACTAATTTAGAATTTCCTTTCCTTTATAAAAGTAGAAATCATCAGCAGTTCCGATTATATATATATATATTCTGTTATTAATAAATCCCTTCAAAAATCTATTTTATTTTTATTTATAATCAATTAATCAAAATAAAAATAATTTACACCAAAAAAGACACAAAAATATATCTTGTCGCATTTCATGACAAACCCAACCGGGCATGTTGCTACCACAGAATCATGTGATAATGTTGCCATGGTGGCAGACGCCGCATTGTTGGCGGGAAATTGTATACAAATCGTTGACTTCTGCGGCGCATGACTGCTCATATCGTTATTTGAGAACACTGAGAGACATGTCACTCTGATACGCATGCTGGGAACATACATATGTGTGTGCTCTCTGTGCCGCCTCCCTCACATTGGTTCCTGCTCATCGTCTTGCAAACCTAATACACAAATGAGCAGGAGAGTTAATAAAAACTTTCTCCGATTCAGTAAATTTGATTACTTTGTTGTTACATTTTTCACAAATCGTCTCTACAGGAATTGAGTGCGTGTGTTGTCTGGCCGAGCAAGTGAACGTGAGATTGTGTATGTGTGTGTAGTTTTGTGTAAAGGAGGAATGTGTCGGAATGTTCTTATGCACCTTTTGGGGACTCCCAAGTAGTTTATCACTATTTCATTCTATTTTGTTCTTACCCATCGTCATCGCCACCCATCGGTAGTCATCCTGTCTTTCGGTCTATTCTATGTTTGTTCCTCTGAACTTCGGGATGGGTTAAATTGAGTGCGTATGTGTGTCCATGTGCACGTGTATTAAAGTTAAGGGAATCCCTGCTTGTGAGCATAGTCTGCAGACAGTGAAGAATGTGCGGGTGGTTGACTGAGCGATGTAAAGTAGAATTCTAAAATTTGGTTCTTTCGGTTAGCCCGGTGAGCTCAGGACTGTGTGGTTTCTTATTGTGGCGTTCCTATAGAAGGAACGCGAGTAATGTAACCATTGTCTCGCATTGTTGTTTGGAATGCTGTCTGGAACATTGACGCACGTAGCGCAATGTCAAGTTGGCACTTTTTGTTGTGGTCTGCTTTCATACGTCCACCATCGTCTGTTGTAGTTGCATGCATAGATCCCGATTATTTTTTGAAAAAATTGCTCTTTTGGCAATATCCTCGATAATACATAACTTACAACATGGTTCAGGAAATTGATAGTTTATAATTTTCATAAATAAATAATTATAGTAACAAATGCCGCATCATTTGATTGCTGTTTTGCATTTTTGCTGTAATTATTGTACCTGCGCATTTTTGTGATTTGCTGTTGCCAGAGAGCAATTTGATGTCAATCTTTATTCACCCACAACTGTGATGTTCCAGATTCCCTAAAACAACTAATACCTAAAAAACACTTTCAAAAATTCTGCAAAAAATATGATGCCAGATTGTTCAAATGCGTAGTTCCAGGGATATTATTGCCAATCAGGGATGTTCAGTGTGACGGATTTTTAGGTTTTCGACTGTCAAAAAGTTGTAAACGTAGAACGTAAAATGTACGTACTAAACGTCATGTATTTAAATATTTTCACAAGATACAGTTACTCTAAAGAATGTATAATATTTTTTACAAAATTTCTGGTTATCTTTTATAAGTTCTGACAAAAAATTCTAAACTTTTTGAAAAAAAAAAAATTAAATTTGATATAACACATACCAAAATTTTATGTTATTTTCATAGTGTGGCAACTGCAACGGTATCTTATGCAGAAAATATCCCAAATGTTCCTTTATTACAGAATGTGGGGAGTTTTTATTCCCATTTTACAAAATATATTCTCTCCAAAAATGTGCTGTTCTCGCACGGCTGTCCTAAGGCATGTGTGTGTGTGGCGAGAATATTACATATATTACGAGCGAATATTTTGAAACTGAGTTTTATTGACAATAATAAACGTTTATTTGAAAACAATTCAGGATTGATGTTTTGCTTTATATACTTTTTTAATTTTGATTTACATATAAATTGGCCAAACATCTAACTAACGAAAATAATTAAATTATCTTTACATCGATACACACACATACAGAAAACTCACAGCCTAGTAATCTAAAAGCCTGCAAGGCAAGCACAGAGATCCTGAAAAATCAATTGGTCTGATTATGGTTTGGAATTGTCACACAAACAAACTTCATTACTCCCACGCTGAGACAGGAAATTGATTTTTGCACGGCAACCCTGACAATTAGGACGACAGCCATAAGGATAATGCCGAACGTGCAGCGTGAATATAAACAAAAAACGGAAACAATTAGTACTCTCTCTCTCTCGGCATTGTGCTAGCTCTTGGTCGTTTTCTCGCGCTCTCTCTCTCTCTTTCTAGTTTACTCTCTTTTGATAAATGAAAGGGTTTGTTGTTTTTATGGAAATGTTTACATTTCCTGTTTGCCATATTCAGAAGAGACAGACAGAGAGGGAGAGCGAAAATTCCTTGTGAATCCTTTTTTTTGTTTCCTTTCCAACACATCAATTGGAGATTGCGGGTGGAATTATTGTGTGTGCAAGTGTGAGTGTGTGTGTGTTTGCTTTTTGCACAGGACAGACTGAACGAATGTGATTTCTTGCTTTTAGGTTTGAGCCGTTTATATTTGTGTGTGTGAGCGTGTGCGTATTCTCCAAGCCAAGTAAATGTAAAGTGAAACATTGGAAGCAGAATCAGTATCACAAGTTGAAACTGAAACAGCCACGAAAACGAAACAACGGTGACGACCGCTGCAGCAGCAGCAGCTGAGACAGCAAAATCAAAATATTGTTGTATGCCGCTTTGGTGCTTCATTGCTCCCCATTTTTGAGGACCTTCAGTCGTTATCAGACAAGCGAGTCCATCAGTCGTTGCGTTCCTTAGCCGTGCAGTAGTTCAATATATAGTTCAGTTAAACCAACAACAAAACCAAGTAAACCAAATACAAATTTCTATAAAATAAAATCACAATTGTTGTATTAGCGAAACCAAACCAATAAAAAAAAACCAAATCGAAAAAGCCAAGTTAGCAATTTGTTAATTTATTGTTGTAGTTGAATCGACTAATCAATCAGCTAGTCAGTCAGTCTGTAAATCTGTCAATCAAACAAGCGAATCAAGAACCGATTTCGTAAAACAGCTTAGCAATAATTTCATATATATTTTGTCGATACGAGCGAAACAAATACGACTTTCTTTTTTGTCCGCAGAGAAGAAGAAGGATATTCCCCAAGTTGAAGAGACTCACGAATTGTCGTACACTTTGATAGAGTTTATGTCAAGGCAAGGATAACCTTACGAAATAAACAACGCGTTCAAGTGCAATCAGTCAACCCACTCAACAAAAACAACAAAACCACAAACACACACTCGACATAAATAAAAGTAAATCTACTTTTTGTCTGTAGCAGAGCTTTAAAACAAACAACCAACAACAGCAACAACAAATTTCATGTAAAAATTTTGTTTGTAGAGAATCTCAAGAGCTTCTTAAAAAAGTTGTGAATTCATAGAACCAAAATAAAATAAAAAAACACGCAAAACCCCCCAACAAATCCTAAAATAAAAACAAACACATAACCTCAACTCTTTTCGGCCTCCTTTTGCTTTTGAGAAGCTGACAAGAAGCGAAAAATAACCACAAATTGTCTAAATAGAGAACCTAAATTTTTGAATCGAGTTTTTTCAACGTCAAAATCCACAAAAACAACAACGAGTTTTTAACACAAAGGTTGCTTAAGCTCTTAGGAAACGAAACTTAAAAAAATCTAGAAAACTTATTTTAACGCCAAGACAAAACCGGCGCTGTCGCAAAACAAATACAAATAAATTTAATCTAAAAATAACTGTAAAAGTTACAAAGAGAAAAACTGTGAAATTACTGTAAATAATAATAACAAAAAACATTAAGTCAAAATATATAAGTAAATAAATACTATTAATCTATCAATAAATTCGCTTAAAATATACAACACAAAATCGTGTTCGATTCTCGTTCGTGGGACATCCTAAATCACAACGTCATCGTCAACAGCTGTAATTACAGGTGTTGTGTTAATTATTTTGCGCCATTGGAGACTAATAAAGTTGCAATTACATAGCGGTGTTGTTACCACAAACTCCGCTGAACCCCAAGCGACGGCCAGACAAACTCGCAAATATCCAGCCTATAAGCCTGCCAAGTGCTAGCCACTGCTAGACCAGAGCAGCAGGAAACGCTTTTTTCCTTACCGTGTTTTAGAAAATCCAACAAAATTTCACACTTTGGAGTAAATCTGTTTTACGTTAAGCAGCCAGCGGAGATTTTTCCCCCGCCAACGCAGGCCATTAAAGCCATTAGTCCGCCCGTGCCACAGCCACCCGCCACCATACCAACCAAAAAACTTGTCGTAAGTATTTCACACTCAGTCAAACACACACACACAGCCGCATGGCAAAACCAAAATTCCAATTTAACATTACGAACTGGAGAAGAAAGCAAAGAAATAAAAATAATTACAGACATTTAAAGGGAAATTGCCCCAAAAGACAAAGTAGAGCAATGACGTGAAAATGCCTTAAATTTACATAAAATGATGGACGATGAACTAGACAGAGAATGCCAGGTGATGACGGTGCTGGTCATAAAATAATATTACCGAGAAGGGAAAGTGATTTGAGGTTTTGGTTTAGGTTTCTTTTCGCAGTTTTTCTTTTTTTTTTTGGTAATAAGTATAAATCAACTTCCACATTTAAGAAGAAAAACTGTTTTAAGATTTAGAAAGTTTTTCTTCAATTATTTTGTAAAGAAACATTTTGGGAGAATTCCATTATGGGAACTTATTTATTTTCTTAAGCTTGTTTTCGTTTTGCATGGATAGCTTCTAATGCTAAGAAAGAGGATTTTTATGAATTTTAAACAAAGGAATTAATAATTAAATTTAAAAAATGAATATAAAATCTAAACTAAACTTACATATTAACATAAAAGATTACCTCAATATATTTGCACAATCTGAAGAGAAATAAAAATATTATTTTTTATTAGTGCTTCTGAATGAATCATGAATATTTATTAGAATTTTAAACATTTTAGAATAAGAATAATATATTGGGCAATATTCAATGTATTGAAAAATAATATCTGCCCTGACCATTGGCATCAATATAGAATTTGATGTGATATATACAATTAATTATATAAAATCCCTGGCATTATTAAAATCTGTCATTTGTATGCATACAAGTAAGTCACTTACTGCATTACTTTAATGTTTTAATGACAATATCAAAGTAATTCTTCTATTCATAATAGAAAATAATAATTTCATACTAATATCTCGAATACATTTAGAAACACTTTATCTTGCATGCCAAAAGGCTCCTTCGTACAAAAATAACGAAAAAAGCTGAATTTATTGATCAGAATTGGAACACAATACCAATTTTGTGATTTAGAGTTGTGGTATATATTAAATAACTAAATCTTAGCCTAATTAAAAAAGTATTCAACACATACAAATACACATACAAAAATTAAGAACAAATAGTTCAACGTATTTCTTCTCATCTAACAAAAAAAAACCTTTAAGTTCCGCCTCGTCTAAAAAGGTGCCTGTCAGCATATATTTTATCTCCTGAGAAATAGGTCATAATACATGTTCAATCCATCTATTAGAAACTATAGCAAAAAAGTGTATCCGAAGTATCCCAAAAATTGTGTGAGCAACTACATGCATGGATATGTATATATATATTGGTGGCCAAAACAAAAGCAACTGAAATTGCAAATTCAATAAATGTCCTGTAACTTTTTTGAAACGAAAGTTACAGTGAAAGTTATTTCGGAAATAAATATGTAATTTATTATTTTTGTAATGAAAAATATTCCATGGAATACTAAATTGGCCCAATTTTTGAATGGACAATCAGAAACAACCTTTTTATTTTTTTTATAAATAAGTAAATTTTGCTAGTACACGACAGCATAACCATTATTTTTCATTACGGAATTATTTTTCATTACGAGACATTGAGTCAATAAAATGTTCATTTTGATCCTTGCCTATACTATTTCTTGCATTCTGAATTTTTGGGAAGATGCTATATCTGTTTGTTTGAAAGACTCTTTTGATTTTACTATCTATTTAAACGATTTTTCTATAGGAAATTATAAAACTAAGATTTTTGACTCCCACAACCAATTTTTGATATGTTTCGGTGTATGTATGTTTGTAAAGATGAAACACTTTCAAATACATTTGTATAGATAATCCGATCCATTATTTCATAGATCTCGTATATATATCCAACTTTTGGCAGCAAATCAAAATTGAAAACCAGACACATGTTATTGTTATAAAATCCATTTAGAAATTATTTTTAAGAAGCGAAATAGGTGTAGAAAGCAAAACATAGTAATTGTAACGGTAAAAATTGCTACAATTTTAAAGCTCATCTGTGTGTACTGTAGAGTTGCTTTAGTTTTGTCCAAGCAAAAACTTGCACAATTCCCTTATCCATAAATTATTATTTCATAATTTAAAACTGAAAAAACAACACAATATATATTTATTTATATATATGGAATCGTAAACGTAAGGAATTTATACAAGCTTTAAAAACACTTTAAGACACATTGTAGCGATGGCTAATTAATGGATAATGTGTATACCATGGAAGAAATTGTAGGTGTGTGGATTAATTATCCATCGCTACAACAAAATTCTGCTTTGAAAAGGACTGTTCCTAGAACGAAGACAAATGTCGAACTTTGACAACTTTGAATTTAATTCGCATGTGCAAGTTTCGCATCAAAGCGGAATAAATACAAGTTATCAACATACGACCTTTGTAAAGCCACATAGCCCAATATGCCTGATGAGCCGCTTAACCAACGGCGAAACGCGTCGCATAATGGTGGGTACGTAGGTTCTTCTCCTGGCTTTCCTTTTCATTGCAAAACTTAGATCATCAAGCTCGACTCGAAAGAGTATAAATAATCACTTAAAAATATTTTTATTTTTTTAAACATACAAACTCACTTTAATTCATTATTAATTTTTATAAACTTGTTAACTTCTTAAAACAAATTATTTATAATAGATATTATATTATATAGAAATACAATTGTTTGAAATACATGCCATATTTAAGAAAAATGAATAAGGTTTTTTCAGGGAAAATATACTTTCACATTTGATATTTTAAAATTAAATCTCCTTATTTCCTATTAAAACTAGAAATTTAATATATAGCGGAGAGGGCACCATTGAACCCTCCGACCGCAACCAAATATTTTATATGACAATTTTGTTCTCTTGCAGTAATAGAATATTTAAATCTGACATAAAGTATGTCATATGTGTATTAAGCTTAAAGGTTGCATCTGTACCTATGTGTTTAAATTTGTAAAAGTCCAAAAATTTAAAAATAAAAAATTTTATAAAACTTGAAAGCAAAAAGTGTTCAAGGATGCCTCTCTCCCCTATTTGTATAGGCTGTGATACTTATTACACGCATTTTTTAGAATTTTTGTCATAATATTGGAAGATTTTGTGATTATCATTCAGTAGTTATTTTTAACAGAAAATGCTAAATCAACGATTTTCTTAGACGCTTTGTTTGAACATAAACTTTTTAACCATACTGAGGACAAACAAAAACCTTTTTTAACACTTACATTATGTATCTATATAGGCATATACAAGTAAAGGTCTAAATTGGTCAAACAACCCCTGTAAACTGTTTATTCTCTTTACTTTTCATTTTATTTTGTTTTCTGATGTCCAAAATGTTGCCCCCAAGAAACAAACAAAAATGTTTGCCAAATCAATTAAAAGCAAATTATGTTAAAATTATTTACGTCATCCCGTCTACTAAGGACACTCACACTTGCCCACATAGTTGGACTTACTTGGGAAAAGCTCGAAAACTGACAGGAAAAAGTAAATCTAGAGTCAAAGCCAATGCCATGAATGGCTGGCTGTTGGGCTTTCGGGCGACCAACAAAAATGTAAACATTACTTTGTTGTTCCTAACAATAAAAAGGACTAAATTTGGCACGAAATCTCGCACACAAAAATAACACTCACTCAAACACAAGCACACAATTCTACTTTAGACTTTAAGAGTTTCGAGGCAAGGAGGAGGAACAACAATCATAACGAGCAAAAGGTTTTACTTTATAGTGTCAATGCCATGCCTGGGTTGAGGAGAACAAAAAAAAAAAAAAAATTAAAACGTGTTAAAGTAATTACAACACTTTAAGGGCAACACAAACATTTAAACAACACCAAATCTGAAGAAGATAAATGTAAATTTTGCGTGTACTCACTGTTACTGTATAAACCTTGAGTACTGGCTCCTTTTTGTTACTGTAAAACGTTTTCTTCTAATGTCTTCAGACCCAAATAATAACTGGGGATAGATACAGAGGGAACAAAATAAAAATTGCGTACTCAGGAAATTTTATTTGAATGACAAACTTAATTATATTGTGCTATTTACGAATATCTCTACAGCCGGCTATTGTACGGCCCAAATGTGATATGATAAGAAACTCAAAATTAAATGTCCCAATGATGGTGTTTTTGTTTTTATTGTGAGCTCTACAGCTTAAATAAGGGTCATATTTATTTTAGACAGCAATTGCAGAGAAATGCTTAGGCTCTGCTCTGCCATGTGTTAACAACGACCATACCTGGTAGAATGTTGTCAGTTGACATTAGATTAGATTCATATCATTTTTCGAAGGGGTTCCGTTACAATTAGACAATTGTTGGATGTCATTTTATCAACGTTAAAAAAATAAATAAAAAGTGTTACAAATTATAAGAACGTAAAAATTTATATGTGTAAGTTTATCAAATAGGGAACTTCGTGCCTTGAATCGGAAGGATATTTCCTGAGAAGCAAATTGAAATTTGTTCTACAATTTTTATCAGTCTATTGGCTAAAACAAAGTGTTTATATATACTGCAACTACTATGCAGTTATATAAATAATGTAGATATCGATTGTGATATTTCTTTACACCAATAATCCAAATGTTAATTATTTTACACATTTTTTATTATTTTGGTAGGATATTGTATGCGAAACATTTCAATTTTGGATTTTTAACAGTAGATTTACGGATATATATTTAACATCCTAGCCTAGCCAATTTGGCTCATACCAGAAAATTTAAGTCTTTTGTGAAGAAAATTGTTCCAATTCAATTTTAGTAAAGTAGTCTTAATTAGAAAACTCATAGAAAACGTTTTTACATATAAATTCAATTTTTATACGCCCAGCACAAAGCCAAAAATGTCAGTCTGGCTGGTAAATGCCTGTCTGGCTGGATTGTGCGCACGATAACTCTAGAAAGAAGTTACCGATTTAAACCAAACTTTGCACATCGTAATAT